ATAAAATCTTTTAAAGCCACAAAGTAACACGCTGCAAATTTTGTACTTATATGAAAACTCTTTTCAACTTCCAAAGTAAATTAAGGATCCTGACAAATAAACTAAAATCTCAAAAAATGCATCTAATTCATTCTCCTAATTAGCTCGTTGATGTAATTCTCACGGTTGCCAGCATCTCCTCCCTCAACATAGTGGTTTCTCTTTTTCTTCAGACCTCCCAATGGTGCCTTTAGCTGAAATGGCCAGAGAAAGTTGTTGGCTTCCTTAAAATGAGGCCCCACGGTCATGATCTCATGGATAAGATCTTCCACACATATGATGCCGAATTTTCCCAAAGCCTGCGACCAGTACAAAAACAGTAGTGCTTAATAAATGTTTGGTGCCAACATGAAACAAAACTCAGTATGTGAAACGTTACAACCTGCTCAACAATTACATTGTCAGTCAATGCAATTCTCTGCTTGTTCAACTTCCCAAAACCTCTTTTGTAGATCAATTCCCTCACGCTCTTGAGATTAGGGTATCTAGATGCATACATCAGTGAGAAATAAGTCATGGAAAGTATAATAAACTATAAAACAAGTGGGAAAAACAAAAGATACCCATAAGTCACATATGGTTCAACCAGGTGAAGCATGTTCATTGTTGCCTTGTTCACTTTGAGAAAACGCCGTTGAAAATCTGCAATCCATTGAAACAAATGCGACAATTTCAATTTAAATTTTATTTGTAAATTAGAATAATCATTATTAATTGTTGACCATATTGCCGACAGTATCCCTACAGTGTAAAAAGACTTCACTTTTAACATGACAAAGGAGAATCAAACCCAAACATACAAGTTTGATGATAAGTTTGCCATCACTAAGCTAAGATGCTATGATATTAATTTCATTTTTAAGTTCAACTATCAAACTTAACAAAATTTCTACAACTTAAAACCATACAATAAAAACACAAGCCTACATTTGATTTGGACAAAAAACTCAAACAAAGCACAGCATATTAAACAAGTAAGGTTATTTCAACCAGATATCCTAACACACATCATTCCTCAAAGGGAGATTCACTTCATGCATGAGACACACAGAGGGAAAAGTGGAGAATCGATTCTCATAACCCAGAATTTTAGTGAAAAGATAAAGATCAGTTAACCTGTCTCAAACGCAAGAGCTGCAAGATCTTTCTCGTCCTTGGGTGCATGGCATTGATACTGACAACATAAACAACATTCACAAAATGTTACCATTTAGAATTTAGATTCTTAAATCAATGAAATGCCCCAATAATCACATACCCTCGGATTCGAATGATAAACAAAAGCTTAGCTTCTGGATCAACATAAAATCCTCCTTTCAACTTTGCTTCCCGCTTCAATTGAATCAACTCCTTTTCCTAAGAATTGAACACCACATAATACAAGTTAGACACTTATACAATCTGATTAAAAAAACAAAGTGCAAAAATCTGAACAGAACAGAATAATTACCTGAGCCTTATACTCCTTTGCATACTGCTTAGCTGTAGAGTAAATAAGCTTGCGGTTCTCAACTTTCTTCTTCTTTGCAGCTTCAAGTTCCTGCTTTTTGGCAAGCTCCCATTCTTCATTTCTCTTATTCTTCTTCAGGAGTGACTCGGGGACAGCAGTCTTGACTTCCTCACCCATCTCTAATCAAAACTATATCAAACCAAAATCAATCAGGTAAAAAATTCTAGATATTTAATCATCCTAGAATAAAGCCCATTTCATTCTTTTCAGCTTATGTTAGCTAAACAAAGTTTGTGACTGACTAAAGACTACAGAATCTAAGTAAGATGAAAGATCCATTAAATAAAAGAACTGGAGTTAAGCAAGCACCAAGGATTGGTAAAACAGAATCAATGTATATAAGAAAACAGAGTTGAAAGTTTTCAAGAAGACAGAAAATTAATCATTGAAAACAAAGATTTCTCACCTTGGTTGGATGCGGCTAACGGTGGTGTTTCTAGGGTTTCGGCAAAAATGAAGAGAAAGATGAGCGAAGTGTAAACTGGAAATGTTAAATAGGATTTTGTTAGGTTTTTGATGATTAAAACGAACGGCTAGGATTTCTTTTCCCCACTTTCAGGAACAACTCAGGTCGGGTTTAACCCATATGGGCCCATAACCAAAAGTGGAACAAGGAAAAAATAAGATTTGAATTTCAGTAATTTGAACCCGACGTGAATCGAACACGCAACCTTCTGATCTGGAGTCAGACGCGCTACCATTGCGCCACGGATCCAGTTGTTTAAGTTTTCAAAGTTTTTTTAAAAGTTCTAATAATAGTTTGCAAATGTTAAATTTTTGTATGAGACTGAGCCTAAGACTAATAACTTTAAAATATATTTAAAATAACGTCAAGTAAAAGTTCGAATTATAAATAATTTTAGGATTAAGAAAATGATTCCAAAATTACAAGAGATAATTTGCACTCAAATCAAATTCAAAGAAGCACACACAAAAAAGAATCTTTAACATAACAATGACTCTCGATTTTATACTAAACAGTAGAGGATTAAACTTATCATAAAAAAATATGAATAATATGACTATAATTACCATGTTAACAATTATGTCATGTAAAAGTTGCCCAAAACCTTTGATCTGTAAAAGCAACAAGCGTGCTTACTGCTTAGTAAACGTATAGCACTGACATGAAACTCTGTGACGGGTAAAAGAGTCTCAAACACCAGAACACTGAAACACAAGAAGAAATGGGTAAGTTAAAACCATAACGAGTTTTGGAAAATATTCAGTAAGCTACCTGTCTCAATCGCAAGATCTTTCTTGTCCTTGGCTGCATGGCATTGATACTGAAAAAACAAACATTCACTACATGTTACCATTTAGGATTTAGATTTGAATGCTGTCACAATGATCAAACGTACCCGCGGATTCGAACGATAGATAAGAGGGTTGAAACCTCCGTTTGACTTCGCATCCCGCTTCAATTGAATCAGATAATTTTTCTTCGTAATGATTACATGCTACACAGAGTATAAAGTCATGAGCTTTCAAGATTTTGTAAAAATATTATTAACATTAATCCAGAAAGAACAGCAAATTTACCTGAGCCTCGTACTCCTGTGCATGCTGGCTTAGCTCTAGAGTAAATGAGCTTGCGGTTCTCGTCTTTCTTCTTCTTTGCAGGTTCGAGCTCCTGGCTTTCAGCAAGCTTTTGAGGACAATATGAAAATGTTGTTAAAATTCAGATCGCGTTTAGCGCGGATGGGGCATATCCGATAATGAATGCAAAACTTAAAAAATCGGCTTTAAGGGATTTGAACCCGACGTGAATCGAACACGCAACCTTCTGATCTGGAGTCAGACGCGCTACCATTGCGCCACGGATCCGATTAACAACGTGGTCCATTAGTTTAATAATTATTTAATAATATGATATTTACTCCTAAATAAAACAAAATATTTCTCATTTATAATTTGTATTCAAGTTCCACGTACTCATTGCTGCATCAGAGTGCCTCGTTGAAATCACCCAGTTGGGAAGATATATTTCGGCAACGGATTGGACCGATATCGGATTAAAAGGTAAAATCGTGCAGCTAATTGAGATGGAAAAGAACGAACATGCAAGATTGACATTGAAAAAAATGCATAGAGAACCTTGAAAAATTTTCATCAAGCAAATGCTGAAAAAAAATGAACAACATGCATGGAAATGGAAGTTGGAACCGTCCAAGAATGTCATGTTAATTTGTGATACATGTGTCATGCTCAAATGTGGCTTTTATTCTGTAATGCAGACCATCAAAGAGGCTGCATCAATGGAACATTTATGCTCGATATACCAACCAAATAGGCATAGAATTGAATCAACGTCTTTTCTCTAAACCCTAGCAGCTCCTTTTCTCCAAATCTCCTTTCTCTCTCTCATTTTCTTTTAGTCGATAAACAGTGACAACAGCCTTAATGCTAATTTTCGTTGTTAGTCTTTTTTTATTTACATATCTTGCATATTTTTTCTTTTTTTTTTAATAAATTAGTCTTTATGGTACAATTTTCTTTATCTTTATGACACGTTTTTTTTTCCGGTCGTTTGACCACTTATCGTTTATTTTTCTCATGATTGAATTTGATATCGCTAAGGCTGATAAGATGATGCTCATTTGTTATCCTGCTATTTTTTTCCTATTTTAAACGCTCAAATTGGATATGGATACACAACCTACGTTTGTAGATAGTTTTCTTGAGATGATTGGCTTTGATTTACGTTTTGTCGGTAATCTTTCAATAGTTTAATCCCTTATTGTGATTCATTTGTGGGAGCAGACAAATATTTTCGTATCTACCTATTGTTTGAATTGTTTTAGATGAGTTTTTACCTTTTCAGGAGAATATACTAATTATGTGTTTAGTTTATGATTCTGATCGTAAATTCTTATTGTAATTTTAGTTTTTTTAAAAAATAAAATTAGTTGTTTCTATTACTATAAAAAGAAAAGAATTGAATCAACAAAGTGAAGTAAGAAGGTTTCCATTTTATGGATTTTGCCTAATTAATTAGTTCAGTTGTTAAAATTGTCACATTAAATTTTAACGACACATTTGTATAAATTAAATCGTTTGTCATATTTTTAGTCGACGGCTAGGTTTCTGTTTGTGTTGCGATCCAATTGAATTGGTTTTAAAGATTAATTTATTATTTGATTTGAAATTAAAAATAAAATGTCCAAATGTTTTTTAATTACAAAAAATGAATAATAGATCCAATTGAATTGGTTTTAAAGATTAATTTATTATTTGATTTGAAATTAAAAATAAAATGTCCAAATGTTTTTTTAATTACAAAAAAATGAATAATACGAATTACTATTTTAAATAAAAACAGTTTAATCAATTCTCAATTAGAATATATAAGAATATAGATAGTGTATTAGAAAAGAAAAGAGCATATAGATAGTATAAATTAGGGTTAGGCCCAGTCTCTCCCTGCTGAACATTGAATTACTGTTATAGCGAACGAGCGAGCGAACCTACCTTCCTCGCAAAAGCAGAACCCAACTTTGAAACCCCAACTCACTTTCCCCCTTTGAAATCCCCTATTTCAATTCCAACACCACAATTTTCATATTTCAAGTTATACTTATTTGTCGTTCTAAGTCTAATAGCGGTGAAAATGTCGAAGAAGCAAGATCCGAGGAATCAGATGGACGCCGCCGATGACAACCGATTCACCATTAGAAATATTATGAAAGATATTCAGTTTCTTGGTATATACTCGCCTCTTTTTTTTCGAATTTATTCTTTGTCATCCGTGCAACCTGAATCATTGTCAGTGAAGATTTAGGGTGTCGCCTTTAGTTGCTGTTAATCCTTGTCAGCATCTTGTTTTAATAATAATTATAGGTGGTATTAGAATCAAGTTTGGCTGTTTTCGTTAGTGTTTTTGTAGTAATAGAAGATTTATTTGAATTGGGTTCGATTTTGTTTTTAATTATCTGCCTTAAATTACATGCTTTTTGGAGAAAGCTTTCCAACGTGTTGGTTCCAGAAAGAAGAATGAAAATTTCCATTATTGATTCTTTTAAGTGGTTGTAACAATTTGAAGCTTTCTTGTGCTTGATAATAATGCCATAATCAATTTTTATGCTTCTGTGTATTTAGTTTTTGTTAGACAGCTTTAGGATGTGAGCTGTTATGTCTCAAGTTTTGGTAAAAACTTCTAGTTCTTGGAAGACATTTTTTAGAAATGGTTGAAATGCTTCCCTGTGAATCATATTCATATTAAAACATACATATCTCGACTTAATTTGATATCGAATTTGCTTAGCTCTATATTATGATATATGGATTTGGGGTGAGTTTTGGTTAAGTAATTTGTACTACACGGTTTGCTCAATCATTTTTAAGTTAGTTTTCATATATTTAGCGGCGTAGACCTATATATGTATATCCGGTTGAATATGTGTTAGACATGGATAGAAAATGAGAGCAGATAATTTAAGCTCCACATATGATGTGAACGTAGCTCTATTTTGAAATTTTTCACCCCTTCCAGTTAAAGATTAACATTTGCTATGTAGTTTTAAAGTTGTTTTGTCTTCCTTTATTTACATTTTAGGGTCCTCACACATGACATGGAAGGAGAGGAAAGAAATGGAGAATAGGAAGGTGGTTTCTTTGGGTGGAAAGGTAAGAACTTTTGTCTTCGAAAAGATAAAACCGTGAAGATTGCGTGGTGATTGTGATTTAAAATAATATTTGACATTGACTGTTGGTTTTCTGAATGCAGCCCCCTAAGAGGCAGAGATTACCTCTGAGTGTAGCCAAGGCGGTCATGAAGAATCAGAAGAAAAGAGAAGAGAAAATGCTGCAAGAGGTGATCTACTTTCATTTCCATTTTACCATAATCTATACTATCTGGGCTCGGAATATGCTTAATTTTTTTTAAAGGTTTTTCATATCTTTGGAAGATCTTTTTCATACCAATGTATGAATTTGTAGGATACAAGTTTGGGAATGATTACTTAGAAAGAAAATAAGTCCGGGTAAAGGACCGGCAGTGCTAACCTGTTGTGGATTGTTAACCTTTTTTGTTTTTGAATTTAGAATATGATTCTTAGCCGATTTGGAGGGAAGCTTGGTGCTGGTGGCAGTGCTAAAGGACCGGCAGACAAGCGGAGGCCCGAGGACAGAGTTCTGAAGTCAAGCGAAGGTCATTTTAAAAATGGTGTGCTCGATGTGAAGCATTTGTTTCAGAAGTCTCCTGCTAAAGAAAATGACTTTGATGGCCACCCTGGTGGCAAAGGAAAAAAGAAAAGGGGAGGTAGTAAAAAGAACGGAGGTAAGAAGAAAGGAGTTCGTGGAGGCAAGAAGCGCCACTGAATGAACATCTGATCTAAGTATGCCCCCCCCTCGACAATGCCAATTTTGGATCTTCATAACTTATCATTGCTTATGTATGATCTTCATCTGTTATTGTATACTAAGCTCTTGCCGACTTTGATTGAGATAGCTGCTTGAGAATGTAGGAACGTCCAGTATTTTACTGATTTTGATGAGAAGATTTGTAGTCTTCATGGTTTTGTTTGCATAATTTGCCCATTCTCCCCCATATGTATGTTAATCATTTTGTTTGAAAATTATTTACATTTATCTACATAACACCATTCTCGTTTACATATTGCAAATACAAGTAATTATACTAATTCAACATAAAAATAAATTAATGTAATTATTTTTAAAATATTTACAACAAAACCAAAACAAAAGTTTAGCGTATATAATTGAATTAAAAGAATAGTTCTATGTTGGTAGTCACGTAAAATTAAAGTTTATGTACAAATTTAACATTGAAGTTTATGTATATAATTATGCATCGAGTAATTTACACCTGTTGAAAAATCAATTGATCTTTGTTCGTTTGCCATTTAAGTAAGTAGACATTTTATTTTAACTTCCTTCTTTTCCCTATAAACTCAATATTTTTGTGTTAAACCCTCAATCAAATAAATTCTAAACTGGGGGGAAAATATTTAAAAAAACATATTTTGTCAATCACCTTTTTTAACTTAACTTATAAAAATAATAGTATTGTAAATATAGTACGGTACCATATTAAATAAAGATATATATATATATATATTTAAATAATCTAAAATAATTATAAGATAATATTTACTCAAACTAAAGATATATTTAATTAGTCATATTTTCATTAAGTGTTATTTCTGTAAATAAGTGAAGGTAAACGTTTAATTTTAAAAAATAATAGTATATTTAAATAAAAAGCCTAATATTATTCCAAGGACACTTTGGTCATAGTAAAATAGTAAGAATTGTACTTGTAAATTACCACTCAAGCTTCAGGATTTGTCTCAAACAGCTGAGAGGTATGGATGAACAAGAATTTCGGCGCCTTCTCGATCTCTTCCCTGTTGTTCGATCTCGTGATTATCATGTAAATAACAAAACCCCTCTTTTTTATTGATTTTATTTCTTCACCATTTTCTCTAATAATTCTTTAGTTGTTCATTCATCCCATGGGTCTGACATCGATATTTTGCTTCAAACCCCCCCCCCCGCGGGAAACAGTAAGTTTAAGGATTGTAATTTTCTTTATATGAAAGACCCTCTCGTTTGTTTCAGTGCTATAATAATCTTATGCTTTAGTATATTTGAATCGGTGTTTTTATTGATTGTGGCTTTTTCTCCGATTTGGTTGATGATCTGTATTGTGTGTTTCATGCTTCTATATAGTGTTGTAAGAGATACTTATGTGTTTTGTGGGACTTAAGAAAAGATATCAATTATTTTAGGCTCTGCTTTGTATGAAGGAGTAGAGATGGTTTTTTTTTTAATTCTACTGGTTAAACTACAAAGTGGGTGTGTGGTTTTGAGTGTTAACCGTTTGATTAACTAATCTTCCAACCTTCAAACCAAGCAAAGCCTTAGTGCTAATGCTGCTGCTCAAAGTTGGTAAAATGATGCTTTTTTAAGCTTTTTAATTTTTAATGGTCTCAGTAAGGAAAATATCTGAACTAATGCTTGGTTTTAGCTACATTCACAAAATGTTTCATGGGTGGCGGTTTTCTAGTTTAAAAATTTAGTATCCAGTTTTGATAACTATGAACAGTTGATTCATGCAAAAATGTCCATGCTTATGACTGCATTCATTCTGATATGAAGTTCTTACATTCATTCTTGTTTGAAATTATCTTTAAAAATTTCAGGCCGAGTTAGCTACATTGAGACAAGCAGATTCTTGTTTGACATCAAATGAGGTTACCATAGCTGATTGATCCCCACCCATTACTCCCTTTTATATAATATGTTAGCTTATCCTGTTGAATTGTATCTGTAATATGTTAGCTTGTCATGTTTGTCATTTACTAAACAGATTAAGGATTGGCAAGATGCATGGCATGATGGTGAAAGAAAGGAAACAGAGAATCAAGGAACTGATCTGCACGGTAAGTTATTACACAGTCCCTAGAATAAAGTTATCTCTGTGAAACTGTATGGATTAGAGTTTTGATCTGTCATCAATTGATCAATCTGTATGTCAAAGTTTGGAGAAATAATGGATTACTTATTATTATGTTCTGAAAAAAGTCTTACAACTTCCTTTTAACTTGCGTGTATTCTTTTTGACAGATAAATTTTGGCAGAAGCTAAAGTTGACAGCTGAGAAAAAGGTATGCCTAAAGCATAATGACTCCAAGTTAATTAAAAATTTCAGTTCTAACTAAAGCATAATTTGTTTTATTCGTACAATATATGATCTAGAAGTTTCTGTGATGATGATGAAATTACCTAGTACTGGAATATAAAAATTAAAACTGGTAATTTGAATGATTTACTGTGGATCCTATGAGGCTAGTTACTTTTAGAGTCATTTTTTTCCTTTCACTGAAACCTTGCACTTTTTGTGCTTAAAGAAATTAAAAAGAAGTAAAAGTAGACTAAGTAGTACCCACAAGGTTTTTGTGTTAAGATACCAAAAGTAAAGCAGAATGTGTCACCCATTACCAACATGTACCTAAAATATTTAGATGTTTCCTTCCGTCTGGTTTTGTCTGAACTTAATGATCATCTCAAGGTCTCTGGTTCCCATGCATAGCTTCGTATATTCTTCCTAAGACCTTTAATTTCCACGATCATTCAAACTTTAGTTCCTTGAAACTTCAAAGAAGTTTTTGAAATCGCAAAAAGCCATCGTAGTGAGATTTCTTTTACAACACCAATAATTTGATTCTTGTGGGGCCATTACATTCTCTCAACCATTATTCTTACACCATCTATTTTTCTCTTTCAGCCATGGTTGAAGATATTTTCTATTAGTTAAAATTGACAATTCTCAAACCGCTTCTGATGATAAATATTGAATACTTTGCATTTTAAAATTTTGGTTGGTTATGAGCTTTAATATTAATAACTGAGGGTGCAAAGCACCTTTCATTGTCTTCAATGGCACTGCATCAAGAGATCCAACTATCCACTAGTGTCATGGGAAGCGCTGTACCTTTTTTAGTGTTGGGGCAACATGAATTTTTTTTTGTGATGATACAGAGTAGTACTTGTAAATTTTTTTATTATTTTTGTGCTTTTAGGATAAACAACGGTGGAAAGCATATATAGTCCTAGATGAGTCACATCGAGAGTCCCAGCATATCAGCTATTGTCATGGGGCAACCTTGTTTTTGCCTTCGATTTTTTTTTCTTTTAGTGGAAGCATTCTCCTTCAAAGAAGATGAACAAAATTTCAAGTATTATACTTGGATCTTGTAGATAATTTCATTGATTTTGATGCTTTATATTGTTTCATATAGTGAGCATTTGATGTGAATAGAACCTTTATTGTCCTGTTCATAATGCATAGCAGTAATTAGGTTTTTAAGCTCTATGTACTCTTTTTGGGAATAATTAATTAGCAGAAAATCGCATTTTGAATAAATGTTGATGCATAATATCCATCCATTGCTTGATGAGAAAGATAGGGCTTTCCCCGAACAAACACTTAAAGGTTAGGGTACCACCTGCCTCTACAGAAGAGGTGTATTTCATATGTAGCACCGGAGGTCATATATAGATGGGAACCTGTCGTGGTAAGAACTTTATCGACAGAAATTAACAGGAGAAAAAGGAAGTTTGAAACAAAACTTGTCTCTTCACTAGGCAGCAGTTATTTGTGTTGCAACTTCATGCCAAATCAACCATAAAAGAGCTTTTGCAGCTTAAATGGTCCCTGCCTGCAACTCCAAATGTTATCACTTGTTTTTTAGGTTTTGAGGATCTTGTGGGATATTTTTGTTGATTGTAAAATAAAGTTTTTATCTTAAGTGTTTGTTTTATTGTGATAAAGTTCCTGCGCTTAATAACAACTGTGTTAGAAGCATTTTAAACATGTTGACTGAAATAGGTTAATGTCTTCTTGTTGACTGGCCTAGGTTGGTGCAGCAGAGGCAGAAAATTTTTGCAAGGCTTTCCAACATGTTCACAATAAACTTGTATGTCTATTTTAGTTATCCGAACATAACAATTGAATATCTCTATCTTCGATTTCCAATTTCCTATATTTGATTGGACGAAATCTTGAAATTTTAATCATTTTCAGGTGTATGAGGGGCTGAGTTTTGAAGCTGCTGAGAAGTTCCTAAACTCATAGAACTGCTGAAAAGATAGTCCCTTAATGGCTAGTACCTGTTTTTTGCTGTTAGGTTCTTATCTTTTCTCCCTTTCTGCATCTTGTTAATGAGGTTGAAGTCTGTTTTGAGAGAATTTTGTCATCAAAAACCATTCTTGTTGTGACTCGATAAATGAGATCCATCATATTTAACAGTCATTCCCCATGTAACCTACATTCAAAAAACTAAAACTAAGTCAAAGCATAAAATTTCGATGTCAAATGCGGTTCATTTATGCTCATGGAAAAACGAGGAAGAGCTTAGTTTTGGCGTTTGCCCCCCTTTTTTAAGTTCCTCGTTTGTTAAATTTGACGCAAATGCTATATAAGCTCACTCATCATGCATTTATCTGGTCATACTATTACCTGAATAAAATTTTCATCTTTTTGATTTTGGATATCTTTGTTCTTTTTTAAGATCAAAGAAATAGTGGAGATGAATCCACGGTGGTACACTTAGTGCACTGAATTGTTGTAATATTGCTTTCAAATATGTCATCTTTTTTTTTTGTGTGCGTGTGTGTTCTGTAGTTGCTGAAATTGGAGTAACAGCTGAGGAACCTATTTATCATTTCGCATAATTCTCTTAGTGGGGAATTCTTCTATTTATTTGCATGCACATTTCATATCATGTTTGTGTATTATAAAACTTTCAATTGTGTTCATATGAAAATGCCTATGAATAACTTAAAGCGGCATAAACCAAAATGTAAGGGAAGGTGATTGGTGGAAGATTTTAAGCGACATTTCTTTTCTCCATCCAAAATGCCTTCGAACAAATAAAAAAGTCTTAAACACGCTGCAAAAAACTAGTCTCATAAGTCCAAGGGAAACATGTTTGGAAATAGAGAATCCAATTCTCCAGTCCAAAGCTGCAAATCAGTCATGAAGGGCTCCCAAGATATCATCATCTCTGTATAGGTGATACCTGAAACAATTATTTGACAAGAAAATGAAGTTAGAACCAAAGAGAAACGATGCCAATGATGCACAACTTTGTCCATATATTTACACATGTTCTAAAATGTGCGGAAATAAATTATTTCACGAAAATGAAGAATTCATACAAAGATACTATGTTTGCAGAAACCTAATAATTTGCCAAAGGGCATGCAGCAGATCGGTCTACAGGCAAATTATGATACATAGCCTAGATAAATATAATTACTTGTCATACGTCAACAGCAAACAAAGACTGCGATTTGCTCTCACTAGCCTACTGCATCTAGATTTACAAGTTTAGATAATTAATGAACCCTGTATTTATGAAGCCAAGTAATTTAGCTGCTTCCGATGTTTGATCCTAATCCCGTCCTGTCCAACTTCACCATCCTAGAGGCACTACATAACCTTAAAAAAATAATACACATCTTAATATATACGTACACACACACATATATATCCTCAGTAATGACGAGGCAAAGCTATTAGAGGAATTACTGCCATTTCTATGTATTCTAGGCTAAGCTAACTTTCGTTTTGCACCGAATGTAGCTTAAGTTGTTCAACAACAAACGAAATCACGTCAAATAAAAAGCCATAGGAATTACAATATGTAAGACTGATTCAAAACAACATTAATTAGTAAGAATGGGATGAACCCATTTCCCAATGAGAGTTCAACTTTTTAAGCTTTGAACAATTCTCCAAGAAAAAACGAAAAGCAACAGCCAAAACATATTCACAAACAAAAACAGTAAAAAAAATAGACAACAAGGTTTAAGAAAGGTACGAATACAAGATGAATGTAAAAGAAAAAAAGACTAACTCTTTTTCAGCAAGCTTGACTTCGGTGCCTCCATATTCAGGCAAAAGGACTGTATCTCCTTCCTTTAGATTAACTGGGATATGTTTCCCGTCTCTGTCTCGTGCTCCTGGCCCAACTGCTACCACTTTGCCGGAGTTCAACTAAAACAATTAAAAAAACATAATTAGAATAAAATAACAAAAACTCAAGGTTAGTGAAGTGAGATTGAATTAAAAACCTTGGGGGTCTTCTCGGGAAGCAATATCCCAGAGTTGGTTTTAGAAGGAGGGATTAGTTTTTCAACCAAAATGCGGTTAAATGAAGGAATCAAACGCTTTGCCATGTTGTTTGTTCCGGGAAAAAGGGGGAGGGAATGAGCTTCTTTCTGCGATGGAATTGGCTGACAGGGACTAAATTTGAAAAGAGTGGAGAATTAGGTTTTAAGATGGATTTAGGGTTTATATTGAATCACGAAAATGGCCTCCCTAACTTAACCTGGAGAAGACTCTATGAGTGATTTTGTTTCACGGAAGGTAAGATTATTAGTAGAAATAAAAGATTATCAGAAAATATGATTACTGTGAATGTTGTATTTTGTGTTTGGTTGGTTTAACAGGAATGTAAGATTACCGTGTTTGGTTAAAAAAATAAAATATTATTAGAATATATATTTAACAAAATTGTCCTTATTATATATTTGTTTTTTAACAAGTTGTAAAATATTTATATATATTTTTAAAAAAAAAATTAAATTCATAAAATTCATATAATTATTTTTATAAAACTGAAAATATAAAAATGTTTAATGAAAGTGTAGAATTTTATTTTAATCCCTGAACAATTTTATTTATAGATTTTTTTTTGTAAATATAAAATAGTTTAAGGATAAATTTATAATTTAACATTCGTAGAATTTTTATTATTCAAAGATAGAATAAGAATATTTTTGAAAGAATTTTTTTAAGGACATTTTAGTCCAAAACGTCGGTAATCCAACAATACCTAAAGAAAGGGAGGTAATGACATTCCCGATAATATACCCCAAAAAAATTCACTATTGTTAATATAAGATTACCGGGAATGACATTCCCGGCCAACCAATCGGGAGAATGTAGATTCTATTCCCATGAGAATATCACATTCCCCCAACCAAACACACCCTAAACGTGAACAAACATGACACATCTTTAGACTCAAAAAAATATAAACTACTTCATTGGTCACTAATGTTTGGGTAAGGTTTCATTTACACTACTGATGTTTCAAAAGTCACAAATCGGTCATTAACGTTATCGTTTGTTACAAATTGGTCACTCATCGTTAACAAATGTGACCGAAAACACACGTGGACCATTAACAACTTACCTGGATGGTATAATTACACAAATAGTCTATGTTATTTATATATTCTTTCAATTTGATCCTAGTTTTAATAAATTAAAATAAATTTACTTACGAATCGAATGTATCATGTGTCATTGGTTACACACCTGTGATGACACATGTCATCATTTGATTGAAAGACTAAATTTATTTTTAATTTAATAGATTTATTTCTATCAATCAAAGGGTGACACGTGTCACCCTCTGATTGGAAGAAAAATAAAGCAATAAAAAAGCAAGTGAGAGGATTTGAACATAAGACCCTTGAGTGAAATAATACAAGTTAAACCATTGAACCAAGTCAACCACTTAATATATTTTGGACAACAAATAGTATATATTGTGTATCTTAGTATGTAAATGTTTTACTCAAATTAATAATATGTTATATATCTTAAATTTTAAAATTATATTTTTTTGTTTTAACTTATTAATTATTTGTATTTTTTCTTAATTTATTAATTTTTTATTTTAATGTAAAAATATGTATTTTATCTTTATCATCACTTAAAAATATATATATTTTTTAAATATCTTAACTTGAAATATATTTAAATATTTTATTATTAATTTAATATAAAAATATATATTTTACTCTTATTTTAAATTAAAAATATATAATATTTTATTTTTATCTTTACTTAAAAATATTTTTTATTCATATTTTAAATTAAAAATATTTTTTAAATTAATAATAAGCTTGTGAAAAGTATCAAATACTGAAAATAGTATTGTAATTACCAGGGTAATCTCCTTCAATTTCAGAGTTCGCAAAAGATGGGTCTTCCCATGTTTCTGGAAGCAATCCATAATTCCAGTTTATATTATAGCTGGGGGACAAAGGATGGAATTAATCAGAAATGAATCCTCTTAAACACACATTACATAGCAATGTCATATTAATGAAGAAGAAAAAGAAGAAAGTGAAAATACACTTTTGCCCGAAGTATCTTCGAAAAAGAGTCTGTAGTCGATAGTTTCAGGTTGGCCTTCTTGTTTGATTTGAACCTGAGGGTTATAAATGGCATTGCAAGAGAACAATCTTTTCGAACACTATCTATCGTTGTTGAAGCTGAGTGAGTTGCTGCCGTGTTTCAAAGCGAAAAACGTTTTGAAAAGCAATTAACAAGGAGTGGCGCCTGCTGCGGTGGAGTGGCTGGTGACGGCTATCACTCTGGCTGCTGCGGCCATGGTTGATTTTAGTTTTTTGTGGTGGACTCGGGATTAGCTGAGTGGAGGAGTGTTTTAGAAAGTAGTGGCTCTGGTGTCCTTATTTAAATTTAAGTTAATTTATTTTAATTTATTAAAACTATGATTAAATTGAAAGAATATATAAATAACATGGATTATTTGTGTAATTATACCATCCAAATAAGCATGTTACAGCTGTTAACGGTCCACGTGTGTTTTTCGTCACGTCTGTTAACGGTGAGTGACCAATTTGTAACAAACGATAACGTCAGTGATAGATTTGTATTTTTGAAACATCAATAGTGAAAACAAAAACTTACCCAAACATTAGTGACCATTGCAGTAGTTTACCCAAAGAAAAATTAGAAAAAAATGGTGACAAATGGGAATAAATTATTCATATATCTTAATCTTTTTGAACAATTCATAAAAAATTTAATATTAAATATCACAAATTATTAATTATTTATTAAAATAATATATTTTAAATTAAATATAAAAAATATGAATAATTAAACGTACTTTTACATATATATGATACTTAAATTTAAATATATATATATATATATATAGATGATATTTTACGAGATAATATTTGTTTAATTTTTTTAATTATTAATAATGTATACATGATTATCAGACATAACTACTCAAATTTATGTTTTTCTAAGATAATGGTGTTCTTTTTTATTATTGGGATTATTTAATAATTTTTAAAACATTATAGTTTAAATCAATAAATTAAACTTAGGTTGAAATTTTCAAATAATCCACCGGGAAAAATAATGGCTCAAATAATGCAATGTGAAGATTATTTCTTTGAATGGGGTGATTACTACAGTGTACCTCAGAATCACATTGCCTTCCACGCATCTCAGCTGAATCCCTCGATTTCACATTACCTTCAATGTGTTTTTTACTGTAAGAATCCCTCGGAGTCGTCGTGTCTTCAAGATGTTTTTCACCCCCCAAAAATTCCTCGAAGATGCATGGGAAGCCATGCGTTTCTCACTTGCATGCATGGCCCTCGTCCCCGTGAATTCAACGTCTGTCGCGCTGTAGGGGTAACAATAATGATGCAATAATTACAGCAACAATGGTTCGGTTGGCCAACAATTATGGGGTTGGTTTTTAATATATATAGGGGTGTAAGGAGGGAGGGTTACACCGGGAGTGAAATAAAGAATAGGAAAAGAAAGAAGAGAAAATAGGAAGAAAGAAGAAGAAGAGAAGAAAGTTAAAGTCAATAATTTTTCACTTTTAAAATCTATATTATTTTATAAATAATATATATGATAAATTTTAATTTATTTGATTTATTAAATTGATTATTTAATTAATTAATATTGTTTAAATTGGATGAAATTTAATTTAAAATTAAATAAATTATCTTGAATTTAACTTAAAAATAAATTAAATTAGGTTTAAAGGATAAGATTCAAAGAAGATAATTTTGTTGTTGTTGTTGTTGTTTTACGAATTTTTACCTGTTTAAATTAAATTAGTTACTTAATATAGATTATTTTTAGATTAAATTATTTTCCTTAAATTAATGTTTATATTAAATGTAATCTTTAAACTAAATTCGTTATAATATTATTCAACATTTAATCTAGTAAATCAATTAGTTCAAATTAGATGCATAGATAGATATTGCTTTTGTATGTAACTTGTATGTGTTTTTTTTTTTTTGCGTTGAATACTTAGGTGTACTTAGTAGTATTTGTTTCTTTATGTAGCATTTCTCTCCCATCAACATCTTTATGTGTTATTAAATTATTAATGTTATTAATTTTTTATATAGATTCGTTCAAATAAAAGAACAAAATCAATTATTTCGTCTTGACACTCAACATATTTCTATCAATTTGGGATCGATGGTGTTATTATTATTTAATAAAATATTATTATTTGATAAAAAATAATTATTATTAAATGGTAGAAGTTTATTTGATGATTAATTGATTAATATCATGAATATTATAAATATAGGAAGACGAGTAGATAGTCATCCATCATAGGCTCAATATTCCAGATAAACCATACCCTTTGATTGAAGATCACCTGCAAGAGGCTGGATTTTATTATGTTACATTTGTTCGGGAATATAAGTTGGTCTCGAGTTTGATCAGTGCGTTGATTGAACGTTGGAGGTCAGAAACACATACATTTCTTTTTACATGCGAAGAATGCACGATAACCCTAGAAGATGTGGCCTTCCAACTCGGGATCCTAACAAATGAGATGCCAGTGGTGATGAGAAATGATTATAATAATGTGGAAGACCTTTTCAATGAGTTTCTTAGGCAGACGACAGTAAGCCTAGAGTTAAAAGGGTGGTGTTTTAGGCTGTCGTGGTTGGATAATCAATTTAAAGTCCAACAAAATAGTACCCAACAAGAAATTGTATATGCAACTCGAGCATATATCTTGTAGTTGATTGGGGAGTTTTGATGCCGAATAAATTAGGTAATCTGGTTCACACATAATATCTCTCGTTTTTGAGAATTTTTCAGAATACTCGTCATTATAGTTGGAAATCTGCGATATTGGCGTTCTTGTATCGTGAGATGTTCAAGACGTCACTAATCATCAATAATATTAATACAGTAGAAATCGATGGATGTCTGATGTTGCTACAATCATGGGCTTGGCAGAGACTTCCATTTTTAACACTAATTAGTCGAACACCGATTGACTTTCCTCTTGCCGAAATGTAATATTTCTTTTATCTATTTTTAATTTAAAATCTTAATTAGAATTTATACATTATGATTAAAAATAAGTAATGAATTTTTTTATTGATATACAAATGGAAGCATAAAATAGAAATGACGAGGCTAGTACATAATAATATTAA